GGCAAATGATTTTCCAGGTTGTTACTGTTGTTTGGGCTGCACTTTTGTTGTTGCTACTATAATAGGGTCTATTATAGTTCATTTTGCCCTTGCAAGGAGAAAAAAAAAGTGTAGGAAATTGTTCAAGAGAAAAATATAGCAAATGTATCTGTGAACAGTAAAGAGATTGTGGATGAAGTTAAGACATGTGGACTTCATGAGGGATTAAGTAAGTTTCATGAATATATAAACGAAAAGCAGATGGGATTAGTTTATTTTTCAGTTTGGTGAAGATATACAATGCTATTTGTAGCTTCTCCTTAACTAGTTAAAAATACTTAAAATCTGTTGTATCATTTTAAAAAGAATGGAATAAATTTTTACTTGTAAGCAGCAGCTAAAGTATCTGACACAAAAATACATTCTATTGGTTATAGCTGATTTTTTTTTCTTTTAAGAAATTTTAAGTAACAACAGGGCACAAATAGTCATTTTCCCATGCTCCTTATCTATATATGTATTTGCTATGAATGACTTTTTTCCTCCAAGAAACAAAATTTCCTGATATGGGAATAGAATCCCATATATTTTGGCCATCTCTGGACACATTTTCAAAATAGTCAATGTTAGTATCTACCCAGCAATACCAGAAGTCAACTAAAAGATTTTAATATCATTTAGGAAAGAAATGGAAAACATAAAAAGGATAGAACCCACTTTTATCTCTTCTCAATGATGAGCAGAGAAGTATAAACTCAAGCAATTCTCATCATCACATTTTGAAATATCTTTCTCTATGACCTTCTGTGCTGGAGGATTTCTTCTCTAATGATTGTCAATGTTAACGTGAAAAGCGACAGCAGAATTCATCAGTGGAATAGAAGGGTCAACACAAAGCACAGGACTCCACATGACTGATTTCAGAAGGGAAAATTCCCTCTCACTTCCTTGAGCCTCATGTGGTCATGGGAAGCTTTATTTTTTCTGTTTGTTTCAGACACTGCATTTTATATGTTGGCTCTTACTTTCAATTGCTCTTTCCAGTGGCAATTCTCAATATAGTCAATTTTGCCCAATCTAAGAAGGTCCTGAGTTCCAATCACGCATGGGTGGTGTGGACTTGAATGGTTATTTTCATGATCCCTTTCATCAACAGATTGATGGCATGACATGACATAAAACTTTTACTTTTTATTTTGGGAGAAGGAAAGAATAGTAATATTTAGGAGAATTAATTGTGTGGGCTATGAATGAGACATCTGAGGGACATTCAGATCATAACTCACAGAGACAGCTAGGAATCAGCCTAGAGCCCATGAAGGGAACTGAGTAGGTAATTATAAATTTGAGATTGGTTAAATTGGTTAACCTGTATGTAGTGGCTGAAATCATATTCATAGATACATGGATTGAAGAGGCTGATTAAAGAGGAATAACAACCGAAAAAAAAGAGAAAACAAATCAGGGAGGTAGGACCTTGTGCCAAAGGAAGATTTTTTTTTTTTCAAAAAATAAGGAGCACAGCAAGATAATTGGCACACTGAAAAGTCATGAGTCATAAGAAGCTGTCACAAATTAACTTTACTTTCATCTTTCACTGAACCTTTAAACATTTTGATGGTACCGATTCCAAATCACCCTAGAGCAGGAGAGAAGATAATATGGAGATAATTTTGTCTTGTTTTATCTATTTGTCTATGAGGCAGAGGGTTAGATTAATGGGGCAAGAGTGGAGAAATGAAGAGACTTACAATAGTTAAAGGGGAAGAGAAAGAAAAGGGCTGGGCAGTAAATGAGCACAAGTATATGGTCTTCAATCCTCAAAGGCCACAGGCAGAAGCAGGAAGTCATCCCTAGAATTGAACAAGGTATGGCAGAAGGGAGAAATCTTGACAGCAAGAGGTTACTCAAGAGTCAGAATTAGGTAGTTTTGCCCCAAACTAGAACTGAAATGCAGGGAATTTAGTGATGGGGCTCATCAAAAGATGCCTGGGTAGTGGAAACAGATAGATTTTTTTTTTAAGGTTTGTTATTTATTGATGCATAGACTAACTGGGGTTTAGGCTAGAGGTATGGGGGGGGCAGGTGAGTGGATTCACCAGAGAAAGAGTGGGGAGCATAACAGACAGATGGACTGAAATACACTGCTATAGGAGCAGCAGAAGAGACAGGTAATATCTGTTGTGTCATAAGGGGGTTAGCTCCCTGGCTGGGGCTCAAACTCATGCTGTAGTGGTGATACTGTTATAGCACCAAGACTTAATCCCTTAGTCACCAGACAGGGCTCCACAGCTATAGATTTGATGGAAGTTACGAGCACAATATGTGACGGTTGGACATAAAACGATAAAAGGTATGAGGTATTCCTAAGAGTGGCATTTCTGGGATTAGGCAGATTTCAGAAGTAGGAAAGTTTCCAAGTGACCCCATAATCCAAGCTGTGGTCACTGGAAATGAGGTGTTGGAACAGGAATTAAATCAATGAGGAAAAGGCATAAAAGTGCCATCCCTCTGATAAGGGTCGCAGTGGAAGCTGAAGTGGAAAATGAAAATAAGAAGAATGAAGATAGAGGGGAAAAGCTATCATTTTCAAAGGCAAATATGTAATTATTAAAAGGCTGCTCCTTACCTGACTTAATAGAAATATGGGTCAATTAATAGCTATAGATGATTGTATTTATATAAAACATTAACATTTTTACTTTTAACTCACACTTATTCTGGATCTCTCACTCTTCAGAATCTACCCAGTTTCTCATGTTTTGGCTTTATCTCCTACACTCCAACTTCACTGATCCCAGTCACTTGACTAAATTTTGTTTCTTGAGTTTAACCTCCGCACCTTCTAATGATATAGTTTCTACCTATTTCTTTGGCTCTTTCTATTCTTCATCAATTTACACTAATACTTCAAACCAGCTGAGAATCCAGGGAATGTACTTCCAGTGCTAACCAGCCCTCCTGAAGAATGATAGGTGATATAAAACGTTTTATAAACACTCCTTGGTGCTGGGTTACACTGAGGTAGGGAGTGGGTTGAGCAGATAAATGAAAGCGCAACTGAACTTAAAGTATTTAAGAAAAAGATCAGCCTGAACTTAAGAAAACTGCAGTGAGAGGAAGTAGTTCCTCAATGAAATCAGGTCCATTTGGAGATAGTTAAGTGAAACAGCGAGTCACTGAGACAGATCTTGGTCATTAAACAGAGAGTTTGGGGATTACAGTGTGAAAAATAACACAGGAGAGGAGGTAAATGGGTAGGAGATTGGTGCAAATGTCATAGATGGGCATAAGCATTTCTAGATGGGATGTGGATTGGGGAAGGTGGTTTCACTTGTTATTTATTGTCAGAACTGTGGAAAGGACAGGGCATCTATAGACAAAGTGGCCAAGAATGGAAAAACCCAACAACTCCAGAGCTCTGAGGAATCTGTGGGATGGTCTTTCCATAATGAGTATGTAGAGAAGGTAGCATGTGCAAAAACTGGCTCTGATTTTACTATCAATGTCCTGATAGTATTTTTACTTAGCATGTACTGTACCATGTTCTTTCTGTACTTATACTGTGGAATACTCTCAGAATATCAGGACAATAAAATGCTAACAGAAGTGGAATAGAATAGATAAAATATGTAATAAAAACAAAAAATATTTTATAAATATCTTAGATGTCACTTTAAAGTTTTGAAAATCAGCTTGAATTTTATAGGAAAGTCAAATGAACTAATTGGCATTATGTTTTGATAGCTACACTGTCACAATGTGGACACTATAGTCAATGTCTGGTGTAATGGACAAAAGTTATGCAGCAGAGAAGCAATGAGTTGAAAAGAGCCCAAAAAATCTCAAGCCCTTTAAAAAATCAGTAGTTATAGGGCCTCCCCTGGTGGCTCAGTGGTTGAGGGCTGGGCTGGGAAGCTGCCCGCAGCCTCTGCAGTACCAGCTCGATCCCCGGCCACTGGCCACCGGGTGAGGGTCCCACATGGCGTGCAGACCTCTCCTGCCGTGCCCTCTGCTCCCCTCATCAGTGTACTTCATCTGTCTGCCTGCTCTGTTCCCCACTATGGCTCTAGTGAATTCTCTCACCCTCCCATGCTTCTGACTGTACCCAGTGCTTGTATAAATAAATAGATAAATCTTTAAAAAAATCAGTAGTTATATTTATAATGCACACGCATTTTCAGAAGCCAATTTTATTGTTGTGTACAATACACAAAACTAGTTGCTTGAGGTTAGGAAAGAATTCATAGATTTAGTCCTAAAGGTAGACAGACTTCATAATCTCACCAGACTAAAGACACACTTAGAATTGGCATTCCTTCACACCTTCAAAAAATACAGCAATGAACAGAAATGCATGAAGGCAAATACCTACAAATGCACAGAAAATCAGAAGCACAACAGTAAATATAGTGTACCACTTAAAAGTGGTTGATTTACTTTTAGAGTGTACTATACCTGCTGGAGAAAAACCACGTCACTGAACATATAGGTATATTTCTCATCTGTTAGTCTTTAACACTAAGTTAGAAATATAAGGTAAACAAACAGATCTAGTACATTAATATCTGAGCAATAAATTCAAAGGCCATGTAGAAACAGGTATATGTAAACATTCACTAGCTAGCCTAGTCCTTATTGTGTGTGTGTATGTGTGTGTGTGTGTTTTATTCTATAGAGTCTCTTGACCTCACTCCTCCATATTAATATTGTTAAGCTCTTATAGGGAAAGGAATTTTAATCTAGTTCTATATTCCCAGGACCTGATACTGGGTATGCATGTACAGAAACATATACTTCACAATTCTAGGAAATAGTCAAAGTGCCGTCATAGCCATATTTAACAAATGGACAATCAAAGAGTCAAAAATACACCAACAAAATAAGGAGAGAAGACATTTTTACAGACAATACTACACTGCCCCCCCCCAAAAAAAATAACAATCACTGATAGAAACAATAAACAATTGCAAATATAATTAAATAAAAATATCTAATGATTAATTCTTATAAGCATTTACCTTCCAGTCTGAGGATCACATCCAAAGTAAAGGGCTTTACAATGGTCCCAACTCTGCTCTGCGACAGAAGCATCTTGGTAAAGGCGCTGGCTGGTCAGACTATTGCAGATGGGACGCGCTGTCCCAGTGCTCTGGCATGAACATGTCAGGCAGCCGGTGGCATTGCCGGGAGAAATATAAAAACCTGGAAGACAAGAAATGAAACATTTTCATCCAACTTTCTATGCAGTCTTTTCTGAGAGAGATAATGTTCTGATTACAATGGAAACCAGAAATCTATCACACCATCCCACTCCCAGTACAAATAGGTCAGGACTGTTCTAACTGTGTCAATTGTGACCAAAGAAAGGCTGAGTAAATAATTTACAGTGCACCTGGGTATTTACCCAGTGCCTAAAATTCTGCTTATTTAAGGCCCACATTATGACCTTTTCATGGGTTATTTCCATTTAGCAAATAGCATCATAATCTCTTCAGCTGCCCACAGCCCAGAATGCAGAGACCTCTTTGGCTGGGGATCCAGGAAAAACACACAGGCCACCCAGTTAAATTTGAATTTCTGATCATGACTTTTTTTGGGGGGGAAAGCATGCGTCCACATGATATCTGCTTATATTATGAAAGTGGTGTTACAGAACCCTATATTTTGCCAAAACTGACACCCCTTTATCCCTTCATCCAGCTGCTTACTAAATCCTATGGAAATTCATTTCCAGGACTCTGAAACCTACTCTCCCTCCACATCACCTTCTTTCTAGAGTTAAAGTGTCTTTACCACATTTTTCATAAGCTCACACAATGTACCATTTATTGTCTCATTTCCTTCTTACAGTAATGCTAAAAATGCAGTCATATTATTGTGCTCCCTATTGAGATGAGCAAAGTGAAGATTAAGAAAGTTAATGAACGTTGTGAAAATGTAGAGTTAACATACCACAGAGCTCAGATTCAAACCGAGGCAACTGAACTCCAGAGCTGAGCACATCAGTGGTATCCTCTCACCTCTCCAATCTATTCTTGAATTTGCAGGTGTGACCAAGAGGCTTACAAACAAATTTGCATCATCAGGGAAGACCCTGGGTGCTATTTTAGAGCTGTTGGGTAAGATTCAGACCTGACTCCAGTCAAACTCATTAAAAGCAACATGTGCAGAGAGGACCCGATGAGCTAGCATCACCTTAGGTTCAAAAACATTGGCTTACATAATAAAATTCCTGGCAAGAGGGTACTGGGCACCTGTTTTCTGAACATATGACCCATGAAGAGGCATGATCTAGTCATGAAATGATTCTTTCCAGAGGGAAATTTGAACAACTCATTCTTCTACTTAATATTATTTGATCACTTTTCATTCCCTTTGTGAAAGAATTCTGAGTCCCTAAGGTGGCCTCCAATTCTCCACTCAGGTGGCACTGCTGTCTCTAGCTTCATTCCACTGCTTGCCTCAACTCAGTTCATTCCAGTCACACTTCCTTCTGTTCTGGAGGTCTGTCCATGGGTAGTCAGTCTGCTTGAATGGTTTGACCCAATTCCCAGCTTAATTCACCTACACATATTAGGATTTGTAACTTCCTAGACTAACCTGCCCTGAGCCAGTTTAGACACAACTGTTATAAAACCAACTGCCCTATTTCCTTGGGAGTCCTCGTGAAATTATAATTAATTTCATTCCCAGCAGATTACAAGCTCCATGCAGACAGGAAATTCATTTGATTAAATCAATTGTCTCCCCAGCATCCAGTATAGCGCAGAGCACACAATAGGTAGTCCAGAAGCATTTGACGAATTAAGAAAAATGTGCCAACTTATTAAAAAGGCATTGATCTCCACAAGCACTATATTTTTTAAAAAACTGAGTTTCAATTAATTATAAGCACATTTTCCCAGCAAAATAAAAAGCATAACTGATTGAAAACATTTTCAAATTACTTAAAATATCTTGACCCCATTAGGTAAAAGTCAACAGGCATGAAATTAGAAAGGCACTGGGCACTTGAATGATGAAGGAGGCAAGTTGGGAGAGGTGGTTCTTGGTGTAGTGTGCCATGCGTGTTCCTGCCCATATAAGCACTTACACACAGACACATGTACTGCATCACAAGGCTCTCATGGAAGCAACGGGGAAGGGGGGGTTACTAAAAGATTCTAATGCATCAAGTTCCACAAACAAAAATGAATTGCACTAATTTCAGGTTACAAAATATCAGTGACAAGGAATGAGAGAGAGCATGAGTACAAAGTGCAGCTATGCTATATTATCTAGTCTATTGGGGCTCTTGTTGAACACAAGTAATTCTTTCTTAGCCATCTAACAATTCATTTGTTTTCCTTGTCCTTGGCCTTTGTATTCTCTCTTAGAAATCCTCAAAAGAAGCAAAACATGAAGATTATGCTCCATGAGTAGAGAAAGCAGCAGCTCAAAAACTGTGCCATTCAGTTCAAAGGAACTAACAGTTATATTTCACTGTAGCTTACAACTAGATGTTGTCCTTTGCTGCTTTGCACTCACTTCCAGCAATTTACCTGATAGGTGTTTCTAGAAATAGGATATGGGCATGCCTATTTGTATTTATTCTCATATCTAATCCATCATGCAATCAGTCACAAATTTAAGCTTCCTTTTTGCATCCAAGACCACTGCAGCTGTGATTCCATGTCTTTTTGTTCCTCCGAGGTCCTCACATTCATGATGATGGCATCATGAAGTTACTAACAGCTCACCAATTGGGATAAATTGCCCATTAGCACAATTACTTAGAAGCAGAATTAATTTGGACTTAGTGTAGTAGCTTTGAGCCGCAGAGAATTCTGGAACAATTAGGGATGATTTTTACAAGAAATGATTTATTAAATAGGGGGACCTTTTCTGGAAGAAGAATGGGTGGTCCCAGTTTTGGAGAATAAGGAATGCTATAGAAAAATCAACCACATAGACAGAGAGGAACAAAATGTTGTTGATGCTTGTAAGGGGGCCATGACCTGCACGAGGGCTTCAAAGAAGATCCTGCACTGAAATTCATCTTGGGGTTAATTCCCCTCCTCCTCTCAGGAGCGTGATTATAAAGGTTAATCCCGCCAGTATTTTAGTTGTCCTATTTTTAAGCAGTTCTAATTAGGATGACTCAGGTGCCTTCCTGCTCAACAATTACCTCTTGCCTTACCTGAATGTGTCTAATTCTAGACCATTACCTCTCCTTTTATGGCTTCCAACTATAGAAAACACCATTTCCCCTTCCCTCCTACTTAAACTTCAACTCTTGAGTGTAGCTTAAAGATAACTGACCTTAATTTCTTGTCTTTAACTCAACACATTTCTGATCTCTCACCATTAGCTCCACTTCATGTTCCACATGTTTGTACCTGTATCATTTGAACAGATCTTTTTGAGATTTCATTCCATGAACGACTTTGTACCACACTCTTAACATCGTCGTTAGGACAATGCCATTACCTGAGATGAGGTACTTTTGAGAGTTTACACGTATCTAGCACAGATCAGCACACTAAAGTTTATTATTTTCCTCCCGTTTTATTTCAGCTAATCCCTGGTCCCCAACAAGACAAGTCTCTTGTGGAAAACAATGTATTATGCAACTAAAGCAAAAAGTTATGCATATCATAAAATAGCATCACTTTATCCAGGAGAAGCCTTACAGAGTCCTTAGAATTCAACGTCATTAACAAGGTAGCTGGTGCAATCTCCTGTCGTGGCTATTTATTTGCACAGCACAGTTCCTGTCCCGAGCATAAAGGAAGAGCCCATTCACTAGCAATGTCCCTCCTGAGGACCATGAACAACTAGGCTTTGCCAAGGTCTTAAAATGGGAGAAAGAAAACAAGTTTAACCTCTAGGCCTTATTCAGAAAAGGAGGGCAGAACTGAGGCTAAGCTCTAATTAGAGGCCATTTAGAAGAAATGACTCTCACCTTAAACCAGAGAATGGACATGATATTAAGAGTCTAAGGTAGAATCTGTAGCTCATTTACATTGAGAGCCAAGACTATATTACCAATGATTTACAAATCAATATTTTCAGAAGGAAATATTATGGACAGAGCGAAATCTCAAATAGTAACAATGTTTCTTCTGTTGATGGTTTTTTTTTTATAAAAACCATGCTCAAATTATTATTCATAGAGCTCAGTTCCTATCTACTTTTAAGACCCAGCTCAGGAATTACTTTCTCAATTAAGTTCTCCATTTTCCCCATTCTTCAAGAATCAATCCTTCACTTTACTGCTGTTCTATTTTGTACATTTCTAATACTGCACTTATCACACTGTACTATATTTATGTCTGAGTCAGTTTCCCTTACTGAACCATAATGCCGTCATATATATATATATATATGACTGTATATCTCATACTCCATAGTCTCCGCTGCCTGACAATGTACGCTAATAAGCCAAAAAGAAAAAGAAAAATACCGGATGGTCTCACTCATAACAGGAATCTAGAAAACTTAAATAAGGGACCAGGAAAATGAATAACTTTAAGAAAGTGAAAATCAAAATCAACAAAAAACTATGAACCAGAGACACTTTCAGGGGGGCGGGGGTGGGAGGGGAGGGATTGGGGTCAGAATGGGGGGGATGCAATTGTATGGGGAATATAACAATAAAAAAATAAATTAAAAAAAAAATTAAGGGCTTAAAAAAAAAGAAAAGAAATGGATATATAAATGAGTGTGGGGCTGAATGGGTGGATGGGAAGAGTGATGGATGCATATCTATTTCCCTTAAAATAGGAGAGGATCTCAACTCTGAAAAGGAAAATGGTAAACAGAAATTGAGAGTCAGGAGAGACTGGTCAGACTGAGCAGCAAGTCATATCTAGGACTCAGGTGCCATCAGTGTAAAATGTGAACCTTGCCATATAAACAGGTGGAAAACTTCCAGAAAGATAATGTTACCCCAAAACCAGGGCTCCTGTGTTGTGATAACAAAGGCTATCACCACAGGCTTGCTTAAAAGAGATATTTTACAGTACTTCTCTGCTTTAAAGAAAATCTAATTTTCCAAGTTTGGTGAATATCCTGAAAGATCTCCACAAAAATGTTCTCCAAGAATAAACTCCAGTAACCACATCAGCAGATATAACCATATCAACAGCTCTGATCATATCTTGAGAATTAAAATGCATAAAGACATGCATTTGTAAGATCCAGCAAAACATTTCTTAATCATCT